TCCCTATTGTTGTTCCAAGCGCGTGCACGTCACCATGCCGATATCACGAACGCCACCCCCATCAGCAGGTCCAGCTTCGTAACCGCATCGGCAATCTGATGGGGTCGTTCTCGGGGGCCGACGTCTCAGGCGCCCATCCGCCTCCACACTTTGTCTGCGATGCGGTCAACCCGAATTGTAAGGATGGGCAACCTTCCCAAGGGTACCGTTGCATCCTTGCCCCTTCCCCATCCTTGGCCAATTTGGTTGGCCGCGCCACGCTCGTAAAGCTTCGAAGTGGGCGTCCAAGGCCCTTGTACCTTTATCGCGCATTCTTACGATACGGGCCGACTACAAGTTAATGTGTGAATGCTTCTGGTGACGTCGGAGGATGGGGGTGCGGCGCACGCGGCTGGCTGTGATGAGGAGGGGAGGGCCCCTTTTCAGAAGACCCTGGGCGTTCAGCCGCGCCTCCACGTGCGTGCCAGACGACACGGTGGCGCATCCTGCTGCTCATTGTGTTCATCCTCGGCCCCCCCTTGGTTTCCTCCTCGCATCCGCCCGCGTCCTGCGTTTTTCCCCGGCAACTTTCGTAATCGCTGTCATGGTGGTGGTCATTGTTGTCATCTTCGTTTTCCTCCTTCATTTCCTCCTCCCCATCATCATGCACACTTGTGCCTTCCCGCTCCTGATTTGGTTCGCCGCCCCGATTCCAATTCCTCTTCCCGTTTCCCCGGGCTTCCCCGACGGGTCCGAGTGAGTGGTGCCGAATTCGTGCCGCATCGCCGATGCATCGGCGATGCAGCTCGATGTGGAGCCCGATTTTCTCCGCACTAACGGCGCGGATGCATCGGCGATATCGGCGACTCGTCCCGTTCGTTCGACCCCATCCGATCGGACGCCATATACCTCCAATATCCTTCTCCCTCTTCGCCCGGTGCTCCTCGTCATTTCCCCCCAAGCACTCCTGCTTTCGAATGCAGAAGCGTATGCGCAATCATCAGGTTTCGGATGTCCGTGCGGATTGTCCAGCACTGCTGGACCCCAGGGTCCAACGCAAATCCAAGACATCCGCGCGAACCCCAGGCAAGGTGTCTGTGCATGCAGGTGTTCCCTCCACCATGGTGTGTATTCCCTTTCAGTCCTCCCCAGGGCCGAGAAAAGAAAAACGACAATTGGGAGGTCAAGGAGGAGGCGGAGGGAGGATGCCTCACCGTTTTGTTCACCCCCATGTCCGTGTCTGGCGCGGCCGCAGCATCGCGCTCGGTCTCAAGAGCCGCTACCCGCAGATGCTGGTGCTAGCGCGGGCGCTCGGGATGGACGATGCAAAGGTGCCTTCTCCCCCGTGGTGAGTGGCTCCTCCGTGAGGAGCAGGAGGAGGAAGGGGGGAGGATGCGCTTGCTTTATAGTCCAGAAGCGATGTCCAGGCGAGTTGCCCTGATCAGGCATGTGGGGGAGCACGCCATGGAAGAACGGCCTGGAGGCCGTGATACCCTAAGAGGGGGAGGATGGAGGAGGAAGCAGAGGAGTGGGAGGTGGAGGAGGAGGAGGAGGACGAGGAGCAGGAGCAGGAGCAGGAGCAGGAGGAGGAGCAGGAGCAGGAGCAGGAGGAGGAGGAGGAGCAGGAAGAGGAGGGGGAGGGGTAAGGTGCGAGGGAGGAAGACGAGGATGATTAGGCGGATGAGGAAGAAAAGGAGGAGGGCGAACAGAAAGGCCAGATGCCTCTTGGGCCTCTTTGGATGTGTCTTGAAAGCTTGTCGTGAGCCTCTTGGGGCATCCTGGGGGGCCTCGTTGGCGGTCTTGGGGGTTTCATGAAGCGCCTTGCGCGCCTCGGGGGAGCCTCCTCGGTCTTCTTGGGGGTCCCTTGGGAGTCCCTTAGGGGCTTTCTGGGGGCATCGTGGGGGCACCGTGGGGGCACCTTGGGGGCCTCCTGGGGCCTGGGCGCCTCTCGGGGCCTTCTTGGGAGCCTCGGGGTCCACCTTGGGGCCATCTTGGAAGGATCAAGGGAGGCGCCCCCCCCCAGGAGGCCAACATGTGGCCAGCACCTTAGTACCAGCAATGACTTGGGCTCTCCTTCGCCGAGGCCGTTTTGGACGCTCCAACCCCTCGGTTGTGGCCACAACCGTGGTACAATCAATAAGTTTGGCCTTCTCGCCGAGGCCTCCCTCTTGGGCGTCGTTTGTGCATCTGGGTGGGGGTTCTTGGGGCATCGTCTGGGTCGCTTGGGAGCCTCTTGAGAGCATCTTGGAGGCCTCTTGGCCTCTTGGCCTCTTAGGGCCTCCTGGGCACCTCTCGGGGCCGCCTTGGGGCACCCTGGCGAACCTCGAGCTCCCTCTTGGAGCCATGTTTGGAAGAGATCGATCGAAGCACGGGCCGTCTTAAATCAGGCCCCCCCTCCCCAGGAGGCCAAGCTGTGGCCACAGCCTGAGTAAGATCAGTGAGTTGGGCTTCTTCGTCGAGGCCCTCTTGGATGCTCGACCCCCTTGCGGAACCTCCCGTCCAGGTCCAGGGGGAGGGGGCAGTGGGAGGGTAAACCCCTACCCGAAGGGGAAACGCGAGGATGGAAGAGGAACCGCCCTGAATCATTCATGCCCAGAGGGCTGGTGGGATTCGGAACAGTTCCGATTGTTCTCGGGGGGGGGCATGTATTGTTGCGTGGGGTGCACATGCGTTGGAGAGACAGGGACAGAGAGAGAGGGAGAGAAGGAGAAAGAGGATAATGAGAAAAAACATTGTGAGAGAAGGAGAGAGAGAGAGAGAGAGAGAGAGAAGATGAGAGAGAAGGAGAGAACGATTAGTTAACGAATACCAGCCAGGCAATAAATCTCACCGATATGCAGCTGGCGAATAAGGGGGAAACACATCACCCCTTGCGGCGCAATGCGCGCCTCTCCTGGGTCGGGGCGTTGGGAGTGGCGTCAGGCCAGCAAGCCAGAAGAGAGAAGGGAGAGAGAGAACGAGAGAGAGAGGGGAGTGAGAGAGTTGAGAGAGAGAGAGAGAGAGAGATTGAGATATAGAGAAATAGAGAGGAGAGACAAACATATACAGAAAGAGAGAGAGAGAGAAAGCGAGAGAGAGAGAGAGAGAGCACAGAGCGAGATAACGACGGACGGAGAGAGACAGCACGAGAGTGAGTATGGTGATGCGCGTGAGATGCATCCATCGTGCCACGACCCTCTCCTCCGCTTCCTCCTCAAAGCCTTGGTGACATATTGTTTCTGCACTGCATGAACCCAGCTGCCGCCGTTTGAATTGCCACTGAGTCCTGTTGTCTACGCGCCTCCTTTCGCTGCAGTGGCTCATGTCAACTCGCGATGCTATGCTTTCTCCGACGTGCAGCGCACGTGTCTCGTTGTGTCCGTTTCTCCATGAGTCGCGTGATTGGGATAACCCTCTTGAGGGACAGCGAAGTGATCGACCTGCCGTTCCCGGTTGCTTTTGTTCGATGTAAGTAACAGAGCGAGAGAAAGAGAGCGAGAGAGCGAGAGAGAAAGAGAAGAGAGGGATAGAGAGAGAGCGAGGGTGAGAGCCATAATGAGAGCGAGAGAGTGAGAGAGAGAGAGAGAGCGAGAGAGAAAGAGGAACAGCGGAAAGTGGTGAGAGGCAAGTTCCCTCGTCTTCAATTCCCTCGCGTCCCTGCCTTCATCCTCCCTTCCCTCCCTGATCCTCCCTCCTCCTCCCTTCTCGTTCTTCTCCCTCCGCTCCCTCCCTCCCCTCGCCCCTCCTCCCCCCCCTCGCCCCTAGCAGGCGCTGGCCCAGGACGGCATCAACGTCATCATGCCGACCGTGCCCGAGGAAACGCCCCCCCCCCCCCCCCCCCCCCCCCCGCCTCCCCCCGCGCCGCTGGGGCCGAGAGCGCCAGGCGGCGCCGACGGCAAAGGGGCTGGCGGGGCGATGGCGACGACGGAGGACGGACCACAGAGGGAGGAGGAGGGAGGCGGGGAGGAGGAGGAGGAGGAGGAGGAGGAGGAGGAGGAGGAGGAGGAGGGGGCGTTGCTCACGGGGGTTCCGTTGCGTGTCGGTTGTTGGCTGAATCCTGGCCGTTTCGTGGCGTGTTCTCCTGTGCTCTGGCGGGCTCTGGACGATGCAGATGGTCGGCGGCGGCCAAGGGGGTGGTGATCGGGAGGGGGGGCATGGCAGTTCCCCAGATCTCATGGTCCCTTTTCCTTCTTTCAAGCTCTCACGGAGGCCACCCTCACGGACGCCAAGGAGACACGAGCAGGAAGATTAGTCACGAGGAGGGATGGGGAGGCTTGGCGGCGCAGACAGTGGCATGACAGCGGCCTCTCCGATCTGTCCGTTCCTCTTCACCCACCACTCATGGCACTCGGAGGCTTTCGAAACCGTCTGGAGCCCCTAAGGCTTCCCCAGAACCCGTTCCTCTCTCCCTCCCTCCCTTGCCTCATACTCCTCCGTTCGCACTCCTCCCTCCTCTCCTCCATCCCCCTCCACGTCATCCCCCCTCTTCCCTCTCCCTTGATCCCCTCTCCCCTCCCCCCTATTCCTTGCTTCCTCCCCCCCTCCACCCTCCTTGCTTCCTCCCCCCCTCCACCCTCCTTTTCGCTTCATCCCTCCCATCCCCCTTCCCCTCCCTCCCTCCCCCCTGCCCCTGCCCCACGTGCCGCTCCCCCCCTGCCACTCCCTGCCTGCCCCTCCACCCCTTGACGCACCCCTGGAGCTGCAGCCGGCAAGCCCGAACAAATCCGATCCTCCCCCGGGCGCGTGCGCGGTTCGCCCAGCCCAGGCGTTGCGCAGTGGGGGGCACGATGCGCCGGGGGGTGGCAGAAGGCGCACCCCTTGTGCCCGGAAGGGCCCCTGAAGGGGACCGCTGGGGCCCACCAGGAGCGCGACAGGCGCACGCCCCCCTCCCCCAGTCTTCGCCCTCCCCGTAGAACCAGCGCCCGACCCTCGCCTCCCGACCAGCTGCACCCAGCCCGGCCCGACCGGCCCGTTCCCGCCCCCCCCCCCGCGCGGCGAGCGCGCGCGCGCGCTTCGCCCGGGCCGCCTCCCCGCACCGCGCCATGGGCGGCTGCGCCTCAACGCCGCCGGCGCACGGCGGCGCGCAGAAGGCGCCCCCGCGCCGCCCCAGCAGCGCACCCCTCTTCCACTCGGCCTCGCCGTCCCCCCTCCCCCTCCCCCTCCCACTCCCCCTCCCTCCTCTCCCCTCCCCCCTCCTCCTCCTCCTCCTCCGCCCTCCTCCGCCTCCTCCTCCTCCTCCTCCTCCTCCTACTCCTCCTCATCCTCTCCTCCCCCCTCCTCCTCCTCCTCCTCCCATGCTCGCCCGAATCCACGCCCCACCACACACCCGCCCCCTCCGCTCCCCCCTTTCCTCTTCCACTCACTCCTCACCACTCCCCCCCCCCCCACACACCGCACTGTGGCTCGGGCCACAGAGCCAGAGGGGGCCCAAGATCGAGGAACCAATCCCACCAGCCCTCTGGGCGTAGGTGGTCGAACGATATTGATTACTTCCTCTCCCAAAAACCCCTCTTCCCCTCCTTCGGGGAGGGGTTTACCCCTCTCCCTATCCCCTCCCCTGGACTTTTGGGGAGGTTCCGCGGGTTGTTGGAGGGCCCTTTTTCGGCCCACGGGGCGAGGAAAATGTTTGACACCCCTCACGAGGATCGTGGCCCGCGAGGGGGGGGCCTCGATCGGGACCCCCCCTCCTTTGATCGATAGCCTCGAAGATTGCCCCAAGAGGCGCTCCAGGGCTCCCAAGAGAGCCCCAAGAGAGCCCCAAGAGGGCTCCAAGGGGGTCCCAAGAGGGCTCCCGAGCGGCTCAGAGAGCCCAAGATGACCTCCAAGATGGCCCAGATAGCCCAAGCTGGCTCAAGATGGCTCCCAAGATGCTCCAAACGGCCCCAAGACCGCTCCAAGAGCGCCCAAGAGCGCTCCAAGAGAGCCCAAAGAAGCGGATTGCTGGCTCCGGAGGGGGGAGCTGAGTTGGGGATCCCCCCATCTTGTAATCGATGGCCTCCACGATGATCCCAAGAAGCCTGCCAGGGTTACCAAGAGGGTTCCAAGAGGGCTCCAAACATTCCCAGAGAGCACTGGCCGCAGCAGCTGCAGCAGCAGCATCCGATAGAGAATACCTCTAGATGGTTCCATGAGTCCTCGTCCGCGTCGTCCTCATCCTAGTCCTCGTCCTCCTCATCCTCGTCCTCATCGGCGTCCTCGTCCTCCTCGTACTCCTCGTCTTCCTCCTCCTCCTCCTCCTCCTCCTCCTCCTCCTCCTCCTCCTCTTCCCCTCGCCCACACGCGGCACCCAGGGATGGCCCGAAGAGGGCTTCCAAGGCCACGCCCTTGCTCGCTTTGTTTCCCTAGATGTGCCTCCTCGTCCCTTTTCCCGTCAACTCTGAAGGCCAGGATTTCTGAATGGGCTGGTGGGGATACGGGTTTGATCGCGAGCGCACAGGAGGACGCCAGGCGCCGTCAAGGTCGCAGCAAGCAAGCTACGAGCCAATTGCGCCAAGGGGAAGGAAGGGAGCCGAGGAGGGGACAGCGGGGGGAGGAAAACTGGTGGGGATACGCGAAGAGGAACCCCACATGCGTGGTTCAACTCTTCTGTCATCGCTTCGCATGTACGTTGTATCTTGACTTGGGCATGTTCTATGTGAACGCGCCCTGCGCACCCCCTCTGGCGTCGAGACAGTGCCACGCCTGCTAAGCTTTGCGACAGTGTCGTGGACTGACACCACGCTGAAAGACCACCCCCTGCGCACCCCTTCCTGGCGTCGACACAATGCGTTGTGGATAGACACCGCGCTGGGGGACCACCCCCTGCGCACCCCCTCTGGTGTTGAGAAAGTGCCACGCCTGCTAGGTCTATGCGACCCTGGCGCACATAGAGACCGCGCTGAGGGACCCCTCCCTGCGCACCCCCTTCTGGTGTTGAGGAAGTGCCACGCCTGGTACGCTTTCCGACCCTGGCACGCATAGAGACCGCGCTGAGGGACCACCCCCTGCGCACCCCCTTCCGATGTTGAGGAACTGCCACTCCTGCCACGCTTTCTGACCCTGGCGCGCATAGAGGCCGAGCTGAGGGACCACCGTTTGCGCACCCCCTTCTGGAGTTGAGGAAGTGCCACGCCTGCTAGGTCTATGTGACCTCGGCACGCATCGAGACCGTGCTGAGGGACCACCCCCTGCGCACCCCCTTCTGGTGTTGAGGAAGTGCCACGCCTGCTACGCTTTCTGACCCTGGCGCACATAGAGACCGCGCTGAGGGACCACCGTTTGCGCACCCCCTTTTGGTGTTGAGGAAGTGCCACGCTTGCTAGGTCTATGCGAACTTGGCACGCATAGAGACCGCGCTGAGGGACCAAGCCCTGCGCACCCCCTTCTGATGTTGAGAAAGTGCCACGCCTGCTACGCTTTCCGACCCTGGCACGCATAGAGGCCGAGCTGAAGGACCACCCTTTGCGCACACCTTTTCCGGTGTTGAGGAAGTGTCAGCTTGTCATGTTTTCCGACCTTGGCACACAGAAAAGCCGCGCTGAGGGACCACCCCTTGCGCACCCCCTCTAGTGTTGAGGAAGTGCCACGCCTACCACGCTCTCTGGCCCTGGCACGCATAGTGGCCGCGCTGAGGGACCACCCCCTGCGCACCGCTTCTGGTATCGATGAAGTGCCACGCCTGCCACTTTCCGACCCTAGCACCCATAGAGTTCGCTCTGAGGGACCCATCCCCTGCGCCTCTTGGACCTCTCTTGGGGCGTCTTGAGCGCCTCTTCAGCCGTCTTCATGCAATGTTAGGCGTCTTGGACCGATCGTTCATCGATTCGAGTCCGTCTTGGGACCCCCCCCCTTGGGCCCGAAAAAGTCACACGGGAAGGCGCGGTATATGTATATGTGTATGCAAACGTGGATGCAAAGTTCGGTATGTGTGTATTTATATGCAGTTGTGCATGTAAATGCGTACGCGTAGACGTAAGAATGTGTAAGTAGATGCGCATCAATATATCACACATGCACATACGCGTGTTCGCGTGTGCTTATACAGGTGCGCGTGCATCATTCGCAACTTGAGCACGGGCGTGCCTTGCACACCAAAGAACGTGAGCATGAGGAGGACGAGGACGAGAATGAGGAGGAACAGAAGAGAGCCGAGAGGAAGAGGATGAGGAGGAGGCGGAGGAGGGGGAGGTACAACACCAATACCAAGGCGACGAAGAGAAGCTCGCCGTCGTCTCGCCACTCCTGCGCATCCCCGCCCTGCCGCTCCCCGTCGCCCTTCGGTTCCTCACCCCTCGCCCACGCCTCCGCCCTGCCCCTTCGTCACCCTCGCCCACGCCTCCGCCCGTCGCCTTCCCCCCACGCCTCCGCCCGTCGCCTGCGGCCCACGCCTCCGCCCGTTGCCCACGGCGCCGCCGATCCCGTCGGCGACGTCGGTCAGCGCTCGCATTGGACGGTGCCACCGATCTCCCCCCCCAAGCGACAGGGCCGCCCTTCCGACGGGAGCACGCTCGACGGCAGAGCCCGACGAGGCGGGCGGCCGGCGGCGGCGGCTCCCTGCGCGCCCCGCCTCCCATAGGCCGCGACGCCCTCCGCGTCGCCGAGGCCGACGTCGAGCCCCGGCGGGTCGGCGTCCGGCGCCGGGTGCGCCGCCCAGTCTGTTGGAGGAGGGCGAAGTTCGAGGGGGAAGTTCGACGGAGAGGAGAAGAAGGGGGCGGAGGATGAGGAGGAGGAGGAGGAGGAGGAAAAGGAAGAGGAGGAGGAGGAGCAGGAGGAGGAGGAGGAGGAGAAGGATGAAGATGAGGAGCAGGACGAGGAGGAGGAGGAGGAGGAGGAGAAAGTGAAGGAGGAGATGGAGAAGGAGTTTCTTTGCTGCCGCCTCGTCTTTCCTCTCCAGCTCTCGTCCATATCCGCGCTCGCCCGTCGACGTGCGCTTGCACTCGAACCAATCGAGGCACGGGTCGGAGACGGAGGCAAGTCAGAGGGGGAGGGCGTGGGGGGTGGGATGAGGTGGCGGAGGCAAGTCGGAGGAGGGGGAGGAGGAGGAGGAGGAGGAGGAGGAGGAGGAGGAGCAGCAGGAGCAGAGAGCAGCAGGAGCATGAGCAGGAGCAGGAGCAGGAGCAGGAGCAGGAGCAGGAGCAGGAGCAGGAGCAGGAGCAGGAGCAGGAGCAGGAGCAGGAGCAGGAGGAAGACGGGGAAGAGCAAGCTGAGGATAAGTGGCCGTGTCGCAGGGGGGGAATCGAAGAAATGGAATGGAGGAGGACTTGGGCAGAGAACAGGAGGGGGTGAGAGGGAGGAGGAGCACGCGGGGGCGAAGGGAGGGGGTAAACGACGAGGACGACGGAGAAGGAGGAGGAGGAGGAGGAGGAGGAGGAGGAGGAGACGGACGGACGGACGAGGGGGCGCATGGCGGCGTACGCGGACGAGAAGGACGACGAACAAGAAGACGATCGCCCTCCGTCTCCTTGTCTTCCTCGTCGCCCTCCTCCTCCTTTTCCTCCTCTTCCTCTTCCTCCTCTTCCTCTTCCTCCCCTTCCTCCTCCTCTTCCGGCTCCTCTTTCTCCTCCTCCTCCATTTCCCATTCCTCCTCCTCCTCCTCCTCCTCCTCCTCCTCCTCTTCCTCCCTTCCTACTCCTCCTCTCCTGCTCCTCCTCCTCCCTCTCCTCGTCCTCCTTCTCCTCGTCCTCGCCCTTGTCTTCCTCGTCCTCCTCCATCTCCTCTTCCTGCTCCTCATCCTCCATCTCATCCTCCTGCTCCTCCTCTTCCTTCCCTTCCTCCCCCTCCTCCTCCTCCTCCTCCTCCGCCTCCTCCTCCGCCTCCTCCTCCTCCCTCCTCCCTCTACCTACACTCTCCTCCTCTCTCCCTCGTCCTCCCTCTCCTCATCCTCCTCCTTCCTCCTCCTTCCTCTCTCCGCCTCTCCTCCTCCCTCTCTTCCTCCTCCTCCTCCTCCTCCTCCTCCTCCTCCTCCGCCTCCTCCTCCTCCTCCTCCTCCTCCTCCTCCTCCTGCTCCATGTTTGGGTGTGGTTTGGTCTGGACTTGGGTTCGGAGCTGGCTTCTAATTTGGCTCCCGACTCTCGGGCGGCCGACGGTGGGCCTCCTCATGCCGTTGGGGAGGAGGAAACCCGAGGCATCCCAGCTCCCACCAGCCTGGAGGAGGAGCACGAGGAGGAGGAGGAGGAGGAGGAGGAGGAGTCAAGCTAGCCAGCTCGAGCGAGTCAAGCATGGCATGCCCAGTCCCACCCGCCCTCCCACAACATAAGAAGCAAAGCTGGCACAACTGGGGCCGAAGTCACACCGGCCAGCCGGTTTGGTACAGCTGATGCGGCCGCGATGGCGGTTGCCGACGGGAACTGGCGAGCGCGTGTTGAATGCCGCGCACGCATTGCCAGACGAGTCGAGAATGGCCCGGTACACCGCAGAAAGCCAGAGGTGGCCGGAGGAAGCCCGACGGTCTGACAGGACACCCCAAAGCATTTTTGTGAAAAAACATTGGGTTTTTGATGTTTTTATGTTGAAATGCTTGCAAACACACGGTGTTCGGTAGGATTCTGACATGAACGCGCGAGTGTGCTCTTTGTGGTATTTTTGCACAGGATTCGCGGCCTGGGTGCATGACAGAGCATCGCGAGTGCACCGCGCGATGACGTGAAATCGCTGGATTTGACAGAACTCTTAAGATTCATATGGTTTTCCTATGATTTCAGCAAGAGAGCCCGGGCGGGAAATTTGTACAATTTTTGTGAAAAAGCATTGGGTTTTTGATGTTTTTTATGTTGAAATGCTTGCAAACACACGGTGTTCGGTAGGATTCTGACATGAACGCGCGCGTGTGCTCTTTGTGGTGTTTTTTGCAATGGATCATCGCCGTGGACGACAGGACGTCCATGTCGAGAGGAAAACATAAGAAACATGTTGATTTTATATTGATTTTTACAGGTTTGGATGGGACCCCCCGGATGCGGCCCCTAATGGGCGAGGCCTGAGGGGGAGTAGGATAAGTTTTTAATAAGGAATAGGATTGGAGTAGGAAGTAGGCGGATGAGGAGGTGGAGGATGAGGAGGCGGTAGGGTAGGAGGACGGAGGAAGGAGGAGGAGGAGGAGGAGGACGAGGACGAGGACGATCACGAGGACGATC